ATGATGTTTGTAGTTCTACCTAACATAATGTGATGTTTTTTTTTAGTTAAAATTGAGTTAAGAACTGAAGCATCTGAAAATATATAAATAAGTGTTTACAACATCCATAACAAAAATAAAGTCAGAATAAAGATGAGAAAATAGACAATTTAAACCAAACCAAGCTTGGCTCGTTGCTTCATGCCTCCACCACCAAAATTTGTCTACATGCCTTGATACCTTCACCAAAAACCTACTAGGTGGATCATCATTACATCTCCAAAAACACATCTTTCTCTTTCACCAAAATAACCTGCTTCATGCATCCATATAAAAAAACCAAAAACCATATAAAAGAAGTAAAAACATGGCATAAATTATCTTTGACAAAGATAATTATACCTGGAATTATTCTTGTGTTTGTTGACTTGGTCCCTCACCAAGGTCAACAGCAAGGGAGTCATGCCCATCCATTGCTGTTGTCGTTTTTTTCTTGGGTGGTCTACACATGTTTGAACACTTTCTCACATTGTGTCCAGCAGCTCCACATCGCCCACAATGCATTGTCCTTTTCTCTCTACTAACCTTCCTCTTCTTTTTGGTGATTCATTCTTTCCCTTCTTCCTCTTGGGTTTTGGGTTCCTTCCTTTTCTGTTCTCAGTTTCATCGACTAAATTTGGTGGTGGAAGAACTAAAGAACCAGACCTATTCCAGAAACACATACCTTCGACTGGTCTTATTGAGTCACTGTATATCTGTTGCTGCCTTGAATTAAGGTACCAAGCTGCAATGTAATCTTCATAGTTGAGCTTCTTCTCTAAGATGATGCGCAAGGCATGTCGACAAGGAATCCCACTCAAATCCCACCTACGACATGTACAAGTCTTCAATCTCAAGTTCACACTGTAGGATATGCTTGATTCACGAACCTCAACTCGACCATCACCCCCTGGAAAAATCTTACAGAACTTCAACTTCTGCTGTTCGCGTTCTATGATCGTTGTTACTCTGGAAGGATACCGATTTGTATTGTTTTCTGCTATCTTTTTTCTCAAATCAATACGCAACATAGCTGATCTTCTAATAGTCTCCAGCATCTCAACCATTGGAATATATCTTGCTGGATCAATGGCATTATTAAACGATTCTGAAATGTTGTTGTGCACATCCACACAAGATGCTGCTGAAGAGCAGAAAGCAAGGCTACAATTCTTTGGATTCTTCTCCATAATTGCTTCAAATAGACGCATATCATACTTCTGAACCACATCAAGACTGGCTTCATACTGGCTGGTTGTGAAGCTTTCAGCTACTGCCAAAACAAATTCTTCATCTCTTTTTGGTGAGGAAATAACTTCTTTAAGTTCCCATATATGTGTCGTGCGCACATCCTATGCTCAACGTTAGGCAATATATGCTCAACGGCTTTCAACAGCCCCTGAAAATGGCCAGGCAAAACAAATAAGCTTCAGAATATGTGTTAATAAAATCAATAATAACTACACATACCTTTTGTCTGTCAGATATCACAGTGTAACCTTGACCCGTTTGGAGATTAAAATCACGCTGCAACATACGTATGAACCACATCCAATTATCCTCATTTTCCACATCGACAACAGCCCATGCAATTGGATACATGCCATTATTGGCGTCTCTTCCCACAGCAGCTAGTAGTTGTCCTTTAAGTGTGGATTTCATAAAACAACCATCTAGACCAAAGATAGGACGACACCACATGGACCATAGCTTGCGAATGGTAGCAAAACACACATAGAACCTCAAGAAAACTTCTGATCCTTCATCATCCAAAACTGTGTCTAGCTCCACGGTTGATTCAGGGTTAGTCCTGCATAGAAGATATGAGATTAGTTAACCAAAAAGCCAAAATTATATTATGATAATATTTTCACTTACTGAAGAATTGCTAAACGGCAGTCCTTCAGTCTAGAAAACTGCTCTTTATGGTCACGCATGATATGAGCAGTAGCATTTCTCTTCGCTTTTTTACACTTGTCTATTGTAGTCATTAAATTGAACCTCTGCTCAATCTGCTCTTGTATAGCTTTTGGTTTCATGTCCGGATCATTTCTGATTTCGTCTAAGAATAGCTTTGTGATCACTGGGGATTTGAGAAGCTTACAATATCCATTCTTTTGACAGGTATGTTCTTCATAAATGTCTTCACCGTCCATTTTCCAATCCGCTCTTCATAAGAACAATATATTCTCCATGGACAGCCTTCTTCACTCCCACAAATAGCTGCAGACTTTATCTTTCCCCATTTATTTAACTTTATATTCCATCCTTCCTTAAGAGCATAATCTAACAACGCTTCTTTGAACTCTTCTATGGTGTCAAATACTTGCCTTAACTCAAATTTTCCACTACCTCGTTGGAACCTCACAAATTTTTCTTCTTCTTCTTCTTCACCATCAGAATTAGGTGGTGTGTTATGGTGGTCAAAATCTTCATCTTCATCGACAAAACCAGCCACATTATTCTCAACTCGGACTTCTTCTTCGCAAGGCTCAACTATCTCATCTTCAGTATGCTTAGTTGTATCCACTAGAAACAAATTGACGACACCTGCCCATCGACCCGCATCACACATCCTCTTAAAACCATCATCTCCATTACTCAGTCTCTTTCGATCCTTGAGGTCTTCAAACGGCAGCTTATACCACACACCCTGTCCATAAAATTGTTGTCCAAACTCAGTTGACAACACACCAAACACATCCTCCGGTTTACATTCAATGGTCTTGGCTTCCCCATCAATGTAACCAACATTACCAGCTTGATTCTTCACCCAATACCCACCATAGGACACACTGAACGTGAAATTCCCCCACGTGCTGCAAAAATCAATAAGAATTCGACATTATTCACACAACTAAACTCTCTTAGACATTTCATCGAACAGTTGGTGTGCAACCAAAAACAAGTCTCATATTCAGAAAAAAACTAAATGAAACTTGAATTTCTCTGACCCATAACACTTCCAAGAACAACATAAACAAAATTCAAAGCTCAAAATTGTTTAGGAAGAGACAAAAAAAATTAACAAAAATTTATGAAAGTACCTCATTTTTGCTTCTTCTACTTGCGGGAGTTATAAATTAAGATTCAGTCAATCTTCTAAACAGTCGCTCCTCTTCCAATTGCTTTATGTTATCATCCTTAAGAACTTCTGATTTTTGGGTTTATCTTTTTGTGTTTGTCGCAGAGAAAGGGAAGAAGGGTAAAACCTTTAATTTAATTAAACACACAAAACGACGTCGTTTTGTGTTACATTTAATACGACGTCGTTTTATACCAAAATCAAGCTCTCTTTGGCCACTGTATATGCCGAGTCATCAAGAGTTACCGGTTGACTAACGAAATGTTAGTCAAAGTCGTTTTGTGCACCATTATAAGTAGTTCGGGTAGGAAATTCAAATAAATGCATTGTTTGTGTCGTATTTAGCACTATCTTATAGTTCAGGTCGTTTTAAGCACGATGAAAATAGTTTAGGTCGAAATAGGCCCTTTTCCCTATCTCGGGAAGTCACAAAGAATCCTCCCTTTCTTATTCTAAACTCGAAATGTATTCTCATTAACAGAATGCAGGATGCGTGGTATCGATTAAACAATTCTTGTTTGTTTCTCGGAGGCAGACCACTTTTGAACTGTAACATATGATACCTAACAACCCCGTTTCGCAAAGACCTATAAGGAGCCAAAAAGTCATATTTATTTGGATAGACAGAGTCAACGAGATAGTATTTATTGGCTGGACGTAAAGGAAAATTAGAATCATTGTCTTGTGCTATTGTGAGAACTGCCGTATCGTGACATGAACCTGGTGTTTAATTCCAAACATATGTAAATCATATTCAAATCACATATCTCCATATATTAAATGATGTAATATTGTGCCGATTCCAATACATTCCTTGAACTTCAAGCTTCACTTTAACACATACATGAACTCCATCCATAGCTCTAACAAAACCATTAAAATATGGCCAGTATCTCTCATCCATTACTAGTCGTTCTGGGACCCGTCTTAGTTCTTGTGTTGTTGGAGTCTTGATATAGTCACAAGTAAGTAATTCAGTCGCTCGAAGGACTTTGAAATTTTTTCGATTCATTAGCTCTTGCGTTCGTCCAAATTTTTGTCCAACATTTCTCTGAACTTCGTTATACCCACATATCTTTAAAAACATGACAACGCTCTCTTCACTGTTTACATTTAATGTTGGTTGTAAACCATAAGTCGTTTGCAGTTTTTCATACAATGTGCGAAAAACGCAAAAAAACATCCGAAATAGTTGAAGACAAGCACCATTATCTTCTTGTAATCTATCCCAGATGTTTCTCCATCCCAAACCACCATTAGTTTGAGTTGGTTCTCTTTCAAAATATCAATTGTAATAACTTAAAGATGGTTGAACTATTAACTCTTCAAACTGCTCATTTTCCAAAATCCACAACTCAATTTGCTCCTCATAACTTAGATTTTGATCGCTGTATGATCGCAACTGGCATATACGAAATGTCTGCAATTTTATAAACATGAGATAAGATTTAAATAAAAATTCAACGACTTAGTAAATATTAAATCAAATTTTAGGCACAAGTTATAACTTAAATGAAATTGAGAAATAATTCATAATACTTAATTGATATTATAAAAACATAAAGTGAAATATAACATAATTGCTAATAATAAACAACAAACTCCACTAAACTAATCTTCATCTTCAGATTCATTTTGTTGACTTTCATTTCAATTTACTCCTTGTTTATTTCCCCATATATTGAATAATCTTCCTCTTTTGCGTGTTCTTACTATTTGCACTTCTGAAGAACATTTTGTGAAACCAAATCTGGAGATACGCTCCTATGAATGTTGGCTGAGGTGCGACCTTCTGCTTCTAGTGAATCTCTATGTTGCTCATTCGTAGTTCTCTCTACTTCTGGTTCCACTGAAAATCCATGTTGAACATTTGGAGGTGTATCCCACATATTTGATGATGAACCTCTTTGTTGAACATTTGAAAGTGTACCCCATTGTGCAACATTTGATGATGAACCCCATTGCTGAACATTTGGAGGTGTATTCCATTGTGGAACATTTGATGATAAACCCCATTGATGAACATTTGGAGGTGTACCCCCTTGTGGAGCATTGGAGGATGAATCCCATTGCTGAGCATTTAGAGGTGTACCTCATTGTGGAACATTTGATGATGAACCCCATTGTTGAGCATTTGGAGATGTATCCCCTTGTGAAACATATGATGATGAACCTCATTGCTGAACATTTGGAGGTGTACACCATTGTTGAGAACCGTGGCCCCATGGTCCTCCTGAAGTTTGACCCCATGAATTATTATCGCTGGAAGATGGACTACCAGAAAAACGACCACTTACATTTGGACTTCCAGAATTTTGGCCAGAGGCTAGCCGCTTTCCAACATACTCGTTGTCTCGTGTATATCTTCAATACTGTTATCAGCTCTATCAATGAAATACTTTCGCCAAAATCTGTCATCTTTGAATGCTTGAATGCATGCCCAGTAAAAGTTAGTGTTTTTTTAACTTCCATAGATTCTAAGATCTTGATCGCCATGTCGCACTCATCATAGCTATCTTGATCAAAAAAATCTGGACGCAGTTGTTGTAAACTTTGGCGTTGTAACTCTCTAAAACCATCAATCGTATCTGTTAGAGTTGTCTGAAATGATTATTTTTATGATTAACTCGTGAGCTGGTCCTTGTAGAGGCTCGTGAACTTCCAACAACTCTATTTGCAGCACTTTCACGTCTTATTATTCCTTGTTGTTGACCACTGGAAGCATGATTCTGAAATGAAAGCTCTGGTGGAGAACCTTCACGCATGGGTTCACGACCAAACTCATTGGAAGGTCGTGTTTGATCGTTAATGTTAACACCATACACCTCATCACTTTCTTGTGTCTCTGGGACTTGAGTTTGTGGTATATTGTCACTAAATGTTTTTGAATTCAGATAACCTTCATCATTAACTAAGTCCTCGTTCATAATATCTTCTCTTCTTTGGCTCACAAAGTATTGAGACTGCGAACGGACGTCATATAATTTGAAACACCGTTGCATGATATCCCAAAACTCTGGTGGTTTTTGCTTAAATGATTTTATAATCCTACAAACCTATCCAATTTTTTTTAAGTTATGTGTTATAAAAATTATTTTGAAAATTACTTAACATATTCTAGGTTGGTAAAGATTTAAATTACTTATTTCACGATTTTTCCACCATGAATCAGATGCAGATATTACAGATGTAACAAGATCAACTGAGATGCTCGTAGAGTTTTGCATAAGACCAACTCCTTTTCCCTGGTATTTGCTGAACTACTTTTTAACATGTATTTCCTTCTGCATACAGTAATTTTTATTTTTTATTGTTATTATTTGTTTTACACTTTTTATCTTGATTAGGTATTAATTGCAGATGGTCATGCATGTCCATCTTTCATGCATAGCTCATGTACTTGTCCTGACATACATTTAAAGCCTCAGTAAACCCGATCTGCATTTGATTTATTATCTTTAAATCCTCAAATTGACATTTTTAAGGTTCTTACACAAATACGATTTGGGTTTGATGGACTGAGTTTTCGATCTATTCAATTCCATGGTATCATCATCTAGACCTCTTTTTGGGACTGGCCATTTCTCAAGAGACAGTGAATAACATAATAACCATGATATAATATTCTCTTTAACTTTCCTCACGCTCCTTTGTTAAAGCATGTCCAAACATTTAGAATATCTCTCAACGTTCTTAACAAAATAAAATAATCTTTCTAGCTAATTACAATTTTTAAAGTAATTTTAATGTTTTATAGAAAATTCTAATTAGCAAAAACATTGGTAATATTACGTAAATTCTCTCAACAATACTTCCTCTGTTTTTTTATAAGTAGTTGTAGAAAAATGTTTTTTGTTTTAAAAAAAAAGTAATTTTGAAATATTTAGGCAATTTTTTACATTTATTGAATATGATATATTTACTCAAATAATACTAACCTATTTATGATTGATTTAATTATATTTAATTTAATATATCAAATGGTACTTTAAAAATAATAATATTTTTTTAATATTTGTGCATTCAAATAAAACTACTTATATAAAGAAACAGAGAGAATATAATAATACAATAAATGTAAAAAGGAAGAGAGAGGTAGAGAACTAGAAGAGATAAGTTGAGGAACATCTCTTTAAAGGAGACCAAAAATAAATTTGCTCCGCTCTTTTTATTGGTCCAAATATCTTAAAATTTTAGTTTTAATTATTAAAAAAAAAATATTAATATAATATATTTAAGAAACTATGATGAGAAGCTATATTTATGTTGATGATCTTGTAAGAGTAAATGCAGTGGTGGTCTCTTCCACCGTCTTTCCATAATTAAAATATGTAAAGTGTTCAAAAAAAAAAGATAAAAAAAAAAAGAAACGTAGAAAAAGACAGAAAACAATTCTCTGCAAAGAGCTTCCTGATTTTGCGGAAGAGCTGTGTTTTCCATTTGTTATTTGATTAGTGACACAAAAGTGTTTTAAGAAATAAAATTTAATTATAAAAACTGTGTAAAGTTAATAATATAATAAATTGAAAAATGAGATTTGAGAAACCTAACCGTTAATAATGCTTTAAGGCTCTCGCGTACTGTGTTTAGAGAAACTATGCTTTCTTTTTCTTCTACTTTTCTCTCTTTCTGGGTTACTTATTCATTTTTCTATTTTTAATTATTGTAAATGTTTTATTAAGATATTTATGTTGGAGATGAGCTTAGAGCATCAACATCGCTGAGAACTCTAAATAAAAATCTCTCATAATATTATAAAAGTATAATTTGTTTTTCTGACATAAGTTATATAGGTCTCCTGAAATTTATTTTCTAATCCCTTTGCAACCAGGCGTATTTTCCACTATTTTTGTTGTCTCTCCTATATTTTATTTGTTTTATTATTATTTTGACAATAATTGTGCTAAAATCCTTATTATTGCGCCTATCTTTAGGACATCAGCATTGGTTGAAATATAGGGGTATCTCTTGAATTATAATAATAACAACAATTATCTCAAATCAAATAAATAATTAGCTTTAAACAAAATAAACGGAGCTACACTCATAAAAACATGACAGTTGGACATATTCTGTTGATTTTATCCAAACTCATTTTTTTTTTAAACCAATTGTTTTTTCCCATATTTTTTCTTTTGATTTTTTATTATTTGTTTTAGCAAGTAACTCGGTTAAAACAACATTTATGCGGATTCTCTTAGAAGCTATTAGTGGTTGGTGTCTTTAAAATGAGTCTCTCATATAAATTATCTTTATAATATGATTAATTAATTACAATACAATTAGAGAAATGAAAATCAGACATATTAGTACTATGGTCTCCACATAATAATGTAGAATCCCTTCATATACATACAATTGTTTCTTTATCTTACTGTGTAGTTATTTATTAATTATTGTACTAAGAGACTCTTTAGAAAAAAACACCGATGATTGCACTCTTATATCATCATGAAGTGGTTGGTGTATTTAAATTGAGTCTTTCATATAAGTTATCTTTATAATCTGATTAATACATTAAGTTTAAAGTGTATAATATAATGATACAAATGAAAAACAGACACGTTAGTCTCCACATAATAGTGTAGAATTTCTTCATGTATATAGGATTCTTTACTTTTGATGTTTCTCTCTACCACTGTGTAATTGATTTTAATTTTAATAAGAGATTCTTAGGCTCCGAATGGTTACGGCGGATTTGGTATTAAAAGCGGTGCAAAATTAAAAGGTGGGATGGTTCAACTGCGGTTCGTGCGGAATTAGGTAATGAATGGAGACATCTGACGTAATTCAAGTGCGGAATTTGTGAAGCAATTAAAATTTCACCATTCACGTAGTGCGTATTTGTGATAGTGAAAAGACAAATAAAAAAATTTACCATTCACACAATTTTTTAAAAGCGGTGCGTATTTGTTGTAAAAAACGCACTGGTCAAAATCTGAAACAACTTTTTTTTGTTTGTTCACATTTTGGAATAACGCACTTGTCATAGTTTCAACTTGAATAATGGTGCGGTATCTGAGATAGCTTTGCGGTTTTTCTTTTCTTATTTGTATATCGTTGAATTAGAGAAATGTTACATTCCTTTTCTTAAAACACCCTTTTAAATACCTTTTTGACCCGATCAAAGATCCGAGTTATTATCTGAACATTTGTTTAATATTTAAATAAATATATCAAATCCATTAACATTTATTTTAATATGATACCTAAAATATTTTAGGGGTGTTATTAAATCAAGGACTTCATAGAATTTTATATTTTTTGAATCCTCTCTTATTGTATTTAACATTTATAAATTTTATAGGAAATCAAGTTTATTGGATTACCCATGCATATTTTTTTTTCAAATTTGAAATTATCAGAAAATAGAAATTTGGTCAATAAAAAACATCAAAGAGGATTTGGTGGGGGGGGGGGGGGTTTATGATATTTTATAAAGTAAAATAATGAATCTAGATATCACTTCTTACGATGATATTTTAAAATTTTGTAAAAAAAAGTTCTCATTTGGAAAAGAAAATCAAACTTTTTAAAATGAAAAAAATCATTTTTAAACTTTATATTTTCATAAAAATGATAAAACATCATTACAGTAATTTAAATATACAATGTTAAATATTATGAACCACCTAAAATACTAAAAACTGAAAAATATTAAATTTATTTTTAATCAAAAAATTATCTTATAAAAATATTATGGAATTATCACTATATAATAAATTTATTTTCTAATTATATTAATATATGTTTTATATTATTTTTTTTTATCAAAACCGCACTATTTTTTTATTATCAAAACCGCACTCCACTTTATCAAAATCGCACTATTTTTTCTATCAAACCGCATTTATCCCGCATACCGCACGAACCGGACTTGCGCCGTACCGCACTTCAATTCCGCACCGTTTTTTATCAAATCCGCCGTTACCATTCGGACCCTTAGAAAATGGTACGGGAAAACTGCGGATTTGAGTAAAAAGCGGTGCGGAATATTGTTTGATTGGTGACAATATATATTTGCGGTATTGAATAATTATTTAATAAATAAATTAATAATTCTACATAATATATAATATATTTAAATAATACACATTATACTAACATAATAAATTTCTAAAATAAAATGTTTTAAAGTGAAATTTCTTTGATATATTCCTATATTTAATAAATTTCGTTTGGTTATTATTTTTTATTCTTATTTTTAATTAAGTATTTTGAATATCTATATAACTGGAAAATTATCATGTATGGTTTTATCAAAATTTTCAGTATTTTAATTTAATAATAGTGAATAACAGTTGATTATTCTGCATATAGATTTTAAACATATATACTAGAATACATAATATATAGAGAATATTATATATAGTTTTAAATTAAGTAACTATATATATATGTATAAATATAATTGTATTTTGAATATCAGACAAAATTTTGATTATAATGTATTTTTAAATATTAGCTTTCCAAGTTAAACATTACTAACTATTTAGAGGATTAAAATATTAATTGTGAAATATGTTTAAAAGTATTAGTATGCAATGTTATAAAAATAATAATTTTCTAAAAATAGTTACTGTTCAGTGCGTATTTGCTCAAAACCACATGGTTTTGCTTTCTTCTTATTTTCAAGTGCGTATCTACTATTTCGTAGTGTATTATGGTAAAGTGCGTTTTTAATCATTCCCTCTCCTAGTAACGCACTACCTAAAATAAAAACTGTGATTGGTAACTAATAAGCGGTTTTGTGAAAACCGCACCGAATTCCGCTTTCACATTTACACCAATCACTACCTTAGAAGAAAACATCGATGCTGGTGTTTTAAGAGCATTCACAGCAGATAAATCTTTTGAATAATGAGAAATTTGCGCTCCTACCAAAACACTTTAAAGATATTTGCAAAGTACCAAAGAGAAGGAAATTGTCTACTGTTCACTATTGTAATTTTACTCTGCTACCCTCTTATCCTATTGCCCTTCTCACCTGACCAAACCAAAAAACGGGCAGACTATGGAGTTGAAATCAGAGGAGTGAGAAATCTATATTTTTTCTTTACATACTCATAATCGTTGTAGCCAGCTACTATTAATTGTGAACTTATGATATATAGGGATGACTCCTACTATAAAACAGTTCCAACTAGTTAACTAACACGTATTATAGTGTCGGACATACTATATAGCCAACTATGAATTAATTTTAACGTCTAAGTATATATTGACCGTCCATGTAGGTTGTTAACCGTCCAAGTAGATTTTATTAACTGTTTATTTACAATTTGGTAATGGATATGGTTTTATTTGATATTGTTGGTTAAGGGTTTAGGTGTTACTATTGCTTAGGGTTTAGGGTTTACTATTAATGGGTTGGTATTAGGGTTTAGTTTGTATGGTTTAGGGTTTATTGTTTAGGGTTTAGGGTTTAGAGATTTATGGTTTAGGGTTTACTGTGTATGGGTTTAGGGTTTATGGTTTAGGATTTAAGGTTTAGGGTTTAGGGTTTATGGTTTAGGGTTTAGTTTGTATGGTTTAGGGTTTATTGTTTAGGGTTTAGGGTTTAGAGGTTTATGGTTTAGGGTTTATGGTTTAGGGTTTATGGTTTAGGGTTTAGGGTTTCTTTTGTTTAGAATTAAAGACTTCATAATAGAAACATACAACCTCCCCAAAAAAACCCGTCAGATTACCCACAGTTAATACAAATTTTAACCCCCAAAAACCATCTAGTTGGGTTAACATTTTTCTTAAGCGTCCATTAGCCTTACATTACCCTTATTTCATAAACCATCAGCACATTAACCGTCCATGTAGGTTGTTAACCATCCAAGTAGATTTTATCAACTGTTTGTTTGGTATAGCTAGATGGGTTAACATTTTTCTTAACCGTCCATTAGTCTTACATTACCCTTATTTCAGAAACCATCAGCACATTAACCGTCCATGTAGGTTGTTAACCATCCAAGTAGATTTTATCAACTGTTTGTTTGGTATAGCTAGATGGGTTAACATTTTTCTTAACCGTCCATTAGTCTTACATTACCCTTATTTCAGAAACCATCAGCACATTAACCGTCCATGTAGGTTGTTAACCGTCCAAGTAGATTTTATCTACTGTTTGTTTTCTATAGCTAGATGGGTTAACATTTTCCTTAACCGTCCATTAATCTTACATTACCCTTACTTCATAAACCATCAGCAAATTAACTGTCCATGTAGGTTGTTAACCGTCCAAGTAGATTTTATGCAACTCTTCGTAGTGTGAACGCAATCTTTGCGTTATCTTACCAAATCCACCAAAGATAACAATCTTGTGTCAGACCTGTTTAGATTTACAAGATTTTTGGGAAGCTGTGACTTACCAAATCTTTTCTTGATCTTCTGTTAGAAGGTGTGACCTGAAGCTAAACCCAGGAAGCGAAGAAGTAATTCGGGCAGGGTGTTTATGTCTTTTTACCATCACCTGATTGAACACGTAAGCACATAGTTTTTCCTTTTTGGTATTTTGCTAATTATGCTATCTTCTTTGGTTTTTCAGCTAAATTGCTCTTGAATAATTTCTATATTTAATGAAAGAATTAGAGAGAAGATAAAGTAAAATGAGAGATAGAGAAGTGTACGGTCGTAAGAAGACTCAAAAAAAGATGCAGGAGATGCAATTCAAACATGTTTTCTTATAAACACTCTTATAGTATCATGAAGTTGTTGGTGTATTTAAATTGAGTCTTTCATATAAGTTATCTTTATAATCTGATTAATACATTAAGTTTAAAGTGTATAATATAGTCATACAAATGAAAAACAGACACGTTAGTAGTACTATAGCCTCCACATAATAGTGTAGTTTCTTCATGTACATAGGATTCTTTACTTTTGGTGTTTCTCTCTCCCGCTATGTAATTGATTTTAATTTTAATAAGAGACTCTTAGAAGAAAACATCGATACTGATGTTTTAAGAGCATTCACAGCGGGTAAGTCTTTTGAATAATTTCTATATTTAATAAAAGAATTAGATGTTAACCCGCGCGCATGCGCGGGGTGAAATTTTTATACTAATATTTATTCATTAAATGGTTTTTAACATTTTGCAATACTACAATATTTATCGATTAGAAAATGATGAATACAAATGTTGGTATCTTAAATCATCATAGGTCTGGATGTTTGAGACTTCGTCGGTTTTATTTTGATTGACACGTATTTTCAGATTTTGGTACTATTTTCATAAATCTTATTTGAATTTTACTAATTATCGGATTGGATTCAATTTGATCTTCTCAATTCAGTTTGGATTGTATTGTAACCAATATCTGAAATCATCCCAAAAAATATTTCTTAAACATTAAAAGTTGACAAAAAATCAAAATATTTAAACTATTAATAAATTTATTTTAAAATTAGTTAAATTATCTAAACAAACTAAAAGATATTAAAAAAAAGAAGCAAATAAAACAAACTACAAAAATCTTTCAAATACTATAATTTGTATGAGAAATTGCCAGAAATAACACTTTCAAGATACAATTTTTCAACTTTACACTAACCAACTTTACCATTAAAATTTTAATAGTCAAAATACTATTAGAATTTAGTGTTTTGGGTTTTGGGTTTAGGATTGATAGTTTAGGGTTTAGTGTTGATTTTTCAGGGTTTAGGGTTTACTTTTTAGGGTTTAGAGTTTAGGGTTTAAGGTTTAGAATTGATAGTTTAGGGTTTAGGGTTGATTTTTAGGGTTTAGGATTTACTCTTTAGGGCCTAGAGTTTAGAATTGATGTTTTAGGGTTTAGGGTTAATATTTTTTTAATATTTATTTTATGTATATATATAAAGAAAAAAGATATAAGAGTCTTTTATTTTTTAATAAAATGTGTATTTTTGAAAATGTTTCTTTGTTGATGGTAAACATGAAAAGTGGTACTACCAAAGTGGTATAATTGAAATTCTCCCAATTTGTATCTACTAACCTCAAACCTTTTCACTGAAATTTTTAAATTAACATATTTATAGTATGAATATCTACTAATGATACTTCATATTCGTACGATTTATGATAATTTGTATCTTCTTTGGAAAAAAAAAGTTAAACCATTGATCATAAAATTTTGAATGTGAGATTTTACTATATTTAGTTATTTATGGTCGTTTTAAAAAAAAATTAAAAATATAACCTATAAAATTTTTAATTTTTTATTATATATTTAAATGTGATTGTTTAGTTTATTTTAATAATTTAAAATTAAACAAAAAAGAGAGGATACAAAAATGTATTATTCATAATCATTAATTACATATATATGTTAATCATATTAGGTAATTCCGTAGCTTTTATTTAAGGAAATAAAATATATTGTTTTATACCTAGCAGAGTTGGTCCCTTAAAAAATGTCTATATATTATAGTCCTAAATGCAAGAAATTAAATGTTACATTATTTCATTCCTAGCAAAGTTGGTACATTAAAAAGTTAAAGCTGAGAAGCTCTGTGAGCTTGACACGTAAGCATGCTCTCCAAGGTTGTGCATTTATGAATGCTTCAGGATTAATATATAAGAGATATATAAGAGATTAGAGAGAAGATAAAGTAAAATGAGAGATAGAGAAGCGTACGGTTGTAAGAAGACTCAAAAAAAGATGTAGGAGATGCAACTCAAACATGTTTTCTTATAAATGGTCCAAAGTTTTTATGTTTTTTTTTTCTTGAAACACATATTATAAATAGATAGCCAGTTTACTTGGGGGCATTAAAAGCATTCCTAACAATCAAGAGTTCAGGTACAATCAAGACACCATTTGCTAATCTATCTGCAACTACGTTCCTCACACGAGAAATCCAAGCAAAAGTTACAGATTCAAAACCAGAAGACAAATCTATAATATCAGAGACTACGCTATGGAGCTCCGGTACTGGATCCCCGAAGTGATGCATTTGATCAGTTGAGCAGAGTCCGACTCAAACCTAACATTCTTTATCTCCATTCTTCGACAAGTGAAAACAGCCTCCCTAAGGGCTACATCCTTCGGCCATTAGAGGCAATGCAACAAACTTCATATGGAATTGGAAGGGTTTATCGTGTGGTGGAGCTGGAAGATTTTTATGTTTAAAAATTCATTGTAAAAGTAATTTATATGAATATAAATATACTAGAGAGATTATAGTGAGAAATGGAATCAATATTGATGCTCTCAGAGCATCTCTGCAATGAAACATCTCTCCCTATATTCTCAAATTATAAAAATATTAAAAAATCAAAAATATGAAAGAGAATGGAAAAGAAGGAAACAAATGGGAGACGTCTTTCTGCGAAGAAACGTACATGTTTTTGGGAGAGACTCCTCATTCTGTCTTCTATTGGATGATGTTTTGCTAGAAGTTTTAAAACAATTAGATTATTACATTGAGAAGATAATATTATTACATAATTTTGAGAGATTCTAGAATTTTCTTAACTACTTATGTTTGCTCTTAGGCTCCTTAACGATGATTTATGTGTTTGTTAATGACATTATTGGATGTGGGTGGATTTATTATTACATTTGACCCTGTCTATGGAAGTAGCAGATAGAAACATGCCTAAGAAGACAACATTATTTAAACAACACCTTTGATTAATACTGATGGTAAGAAGCTGAAGTTGATCGTAAGATTACGCAGTTACAATCTTTATGCATATTTATCTGCGAATTCTAAGAGACGAGCACAGAGTTCTCGAGGCTTGGAGAACATTGCCATATGATCTGCACCTTTGATCTCCATCACTTCATTAGGTGGAAAGTTGTTGATCATCAAACGCTGGGATTCCACAGGTATCTGATTATCCTCCCCACAGACAATATAAACTCGTGTTACCGATCCGTACCCTTCCTTAGTAAATGGTTTTGTTCCTGAAAGATTGTCCGTAGCTAACGCAGGGTTTTCCCTTACCAACAGTTTCGCCAATTCAAGATCCTAACAGTTCAAGAGTTAGACTTTGGTTTAGTTACTAAACTATTTGTGGTTTGGTATATAGGAGGCTTACTTGTACAGGAGATAACTGGTATAAGTTCTTGGCCATGAACTTTGGTCCGAAAATTACAGTACGCAAAGGAGGAACATGTGTTTCGTAGCTGCGAAACTCCAAGTCCAACAACTCTTCTTGTGGTAGGTTCGGGACAAACTGCAAAATTTACTTTCAGATGCAAGCAGTGTGATCATATCTACTGATAAAATCAGTGTAAGAGATTAAAATACCTTTTCAAAAGGGTAGGAAGGAGGGTTCTTGGTGTCAGGCATAGTAGCTGTCAAGAAGACAATAGCAGCGATCTTATGAGGGAAGATGTCGGCAGCCAGAGCAGTCGGTATTCCTCCCATGCTATGAGCAACAATAATCACCTTATCATCTTCTTCCTCGTCATCCAGAAAGTCAAGCAAGGGTTTGGAGTAATCTTTTAAACTCTGGATCTCTTCCACTTTGACCGTGCTTATCCCCGACGCAGCTAGATCCACTGCAACAACGCTGTGACCAGCAGCCTTGAGATGTGGTATTATCTTGTACCAACACCAAGCGCCGTGGCAGACACCATGAACAAGCACAAACCTCATCTTGTTCTTCTTCTCCTTCTCCTTTGATTTTTTTTCTTTCTTTTGTTAAAACCTTAAATGGCTCTCTTCTATATAAATATCAGTGGGTTTGATGTTTCTCACGCAACAGTATTTGTTTTCATTGTTTTTGTCACCGTAGCTTGCGGATTGCTTTCATGAGTTTCATAAGTAAAGCAATACAATATTAGATTTTACAGTACAAAGCACAACCTTGTCTGCTTCTTATGCTGTTGTTAAACAGGCTGTTTATTTCTCCCTTTTTTACGGAATACATAGTTGACATCTTAACCGTGAAGCAATATTTGGATAAGGCTGTTTATTTCATCCATTCTTTGTAATATCATTCATTTACTCGTTGTCATTTTTTTTTTCATCCATTCTATCGTTGCTTTTGAATCAACAAATCATACTGCAAATCACACAAAGTTTACCGCACAATGAGTCTCACAGTTTCTTTCAATCAAACCAACACAAACATGTTTTTTCTTTCTTTCTTTTCAGAACTAAGTATTGACAAGTATGGCGCATACACAAAGAATGGACGGATCCAATGGCCAAAGCATACCACAAGAGAAAATAACACTGTAATATCATCTAGGAAAGCAAATTTTCCGATCCTCTTGAAGAATATTTACCACATTTATCAATACCAGTCTACATTTTATTCAACCTCCATTCCATTCCATGTTATAAGTTATTCAGAGTAGGATGCTTGGTCAAAACGTGATTGTTCTGAAAAGCTCTGGCTTTGGCATTCCTTCCGTTGCTCTCCATATTATGTTTTCCAGTTTCTCACATAACTTCTTGTAGAACTACAAAATCAACACAAGAATGATGCAGCACTCTATTAATAATTCAATTACTGTATTATATTCACAAACCTTGTGATATTCAAGAGTTTCACCAGCAGCCTTTCTAACGTCTACCATGAAAAGCGATGGTGCCACCTCGTAAATCTGCAATACATTATTACAGTTCATTTGAATCTAACAGTAACCCCTTAGATTAGAATCACAAGATGCAGCAATAATCACCTCTATCACAACAGCAAATTGCCCTGCCTTGATTGAAGATAACCCTTCGAGCCTTGTCTGTTTATCACACATATATACATACACACATATTTAAGAAACAATTTGTAACAAATCATAGCAAGATAAGTTACAAATTTTACGGTAGATCTTTCATTTATGAATCACAGAGATATAATATAATAGCTTTCCTTGTCAGATTGTATCGATCAATCTACACATAAAACCTATTACAGTAGAGAGTTTGAGAAGAAATGCATAATAGTAATGATAAGTATACATATGCTAAGGATTAAGATACCTTGAAGTTGCGCGTATGAGCCCTGAAACCCATTGAGGTCGCAACAGCCTCAATATTAGCAATTATTACACTAGGCTCCCTTCGAGAAACAAACCGGGTTTGCCTTTTAACAAAATCCTGCGAGAGCGAGATTTTAAGGATAAGCCACCAGTATGCATGCAAGGAACATTATCGGCTTCCATTTCTATCTACCAATATGCCAGCCAACCAACTAATTATCTCATGAACTTTTATTTGTTACAAAGCTAGAACACCGCATCTAAAGTCATAAGTATATCAAAGGAGGTACTACCTGTCGCCTGTCAAATAGTGCTGATAGGTTTAAGCCTTGTGATAAGGTAATCATCTCAAAGGCATTCATCATCAAGGGTCCCTCATATCTTCTCTCTATATTCTCCGCTACATAACTTCCCTGTTATCAAGTGCAACCCGACAGGTCAAAGGCATGTAAAGCAACCAAATGTAGCTTGATCTAGGACACATACTTTTGCACATCTCTCAACCAGTTACAAGAGCCAGACAATTAAGTTAAAAAATTATAATTATGGTATTTACAGATTTATAGGCCAAGCGATAGTTAACATAATCTTATTAGGTTTGATAAGTCATTGGTTTTAGCTGGTGCATGATCTTAACGGTTAAATGGAACTTGACAACCAACGAGCATGCATGCTACAGCCTACAGTGAAGGTGGGAAGACCAACCTCAATTCCATCAAAAACTGCACGAACATCGTCCAGATTCACTTCTCCCTCTTCCTTTGCTCGAGTAGGCATGTAATTTATTCTGAACCACCGATCATTCCTAATTCCTTGAATTTGAATACGCTGCACTAATTGGGAAACATCCATAGCTAAGGAGATCAAAAAATTTACTTAAGACTTTAAATAATATCAGCATACAAGAAAGCTCAGAAACGACAGAAGCAAAACACTCACTGTTTTGGGATTGGGGTCAAGTATCCTATGTATTAAAGACTTCACGTCTGTAGAGAACCACTGTGGACAAGAAAACTCTGCTGCACCAATCTGTAGAAAAGTAATGATGATAAATCTCAAACCAAAGGCTAAGGTTTCAAGATCAAAGTGAATTGCTAGAGCCCATGAACATTTTTAGAAAAAGGTCTATGTAACTTACTTTTCTGTACAAAGATGGAAGATCTGTCTCAGAAAAGGGTAAAAATCCAGCCATAATGACGAAAAGGATAACCCCACAAGACCAAATATCTGCTGCTGAACCATCGTAACCTTGGCCATTAAGTACCTCTGGAGCTGCATAGTTAGGAGTTCCACACGTGGTGCGCAGAAGTTCAACTCCCTGATTCAGTACATAACAAAGTGAGTGAAAGAAAGAGCTAAAAACAAACCCAATGAACAAGAATCAGTGGTGAGAACTTACTTGTTGAGGCAATGCACTGAGCCCAAAATCCGAAACCTTCAGGTTACCATTGTTATCGAGTAAAAGATTTTCTGGCTGCAATAGCACCACAAAAAATCATCAAAGCCTGGAATACAAGTAGAAATGTTCTAAAAAAAAAACAGAAAAGAACAATACTTTGAGGTCACGGTGGTAAACACCCTTGCAGTGACAATGCGCAATAGCATCTATAAGCTGTTGAAAGTATTTGCGAGCCTCACTTTCTTCAAGTCTCCCATTATGAACCTGCATGAAGACAAGACATCCAAAACAAAACAAAAATGAAGTGGAAAGCTAGAACAGAGACTTTGACTAAGAAAAGCATACAAAGTAGGAAATGACATACAATCCTATCAAAAAGCTCTCCTCCAGTCACAAACTCCAAAACAATATATATTTTCGAAGGACTCGCCAAGACCTACATCCCAAGAAACATCATTAGATGGACCATCATGCAGTAAAAAACAAAACAGACTTGGAAACAAAGACATATACCTCATACAACCTGACTATATTAGGGTGTCGTACAATCTTCATTATAGATATCTCTCTTTTTATCTGGACAAAAACAAGTAGAAGAGAACTTTACACAAAAGTAAGAACCATACTGACATATAAGATTTAACACTCAGAGAAGAAGAAGAAGAAGAAGAAGAAGAAGAAGAAGAAGAAGAAGGAACCTGATCAACCATCCTGTTCTTAAGTATAGTACTCTTAGCCATGATTTTAATGGCAACGTTTTCTCCGGTCTCTGTGTTCCTCGCAAACTTAACCTTAGCGAAATTGCCTTCACCTATGGTGCGACCAACCTCATATTTCCCCAATCTCCTCGTTTTCTTTGTCATGTTTCTTTTCTTCTGATCCATTACATCAGCTGCCATCAATCAGATTAGTTCACAAACTTTAGTCAAATTCTAAACAAGCCAAAATGAACAGATTCAATTCCTCTGAGTAACAACAAAATCTGGCGATTTGAAGAAAACCCAATTCACTTTTTGATGGAAAAGGACCCAAAAATTAGAAGTTCCTATGACATGAAAGATAGTGTCTTTGATCAGACAGAGCTCAAGACATGAAAGATGGTGTCTTTGATCAGAGCATAATCAGAATCGCAATTGTGAAATCTAAAATCTTTGATCAGTGAATTAAATGTAATCCTTACCGTTTTTTAAGCGAATAAATATCGAGCGATCCTCTCAGTTTTTTTCGAGTGACCCAAATTTTCTCTGAGTTTCTTTGATTTTGGATGGACCAGGTGAAAGAGAACAAAAGTGGAACCTACTTACTACTTGTGAACAAAGTAACCACAATCGTTGGATCGATTATGAAAGAGATCCGAACCGTTCGATGATGTTTTCGTTGCATTCTTTAGAAATGCAAGGATGTCATAAGCAGAATTATTTTTTGGGGAAAATTGGAAAATTAGTATACTCTTAATTTGGATTTGTCCCTATAAGACTTTTAGAAGATTTTTTGCAAAAATAGAATTTTCAAATCTGTTAATACCATAATACCCTTTAAATTAATCAATTAAGAGGAATTATAAATTTAAACTATAAATAAAAAAAAAAAAAAAAAAAACAAGAATCGGGACACAAAGTACAAAGGAAAAATCGATAACCCTAATTTTGTTTTACATCATCTTCTCCGCCGAGCTCTCTCTCATGGCGATTCCGCCTTCTCTCTGACATAATTATGTGCTAATTCAACACATACTCGTACACGAAGAACACATTATGTATCAAGGTGACTCATGATTCAACACACCCGAGGATCAAAACTGATTCAAAGAGAAATATTTGGTTATTTTCGGTTCGGTTCTATTATCTGGGATCGGGATCGATCGATCTAAAATAGAGATCGATCGATCTATGATAGATTGATCGGTGAAGATCGACTGAACTGGACAAGGTCGATCAGTTTCTGCTCCGTGTTTTTTTATGTTTTTTTTTAATCATCGAGATCGACCGAATCTTTCTGGGATCGATCGATCCCGTGCTTTTTTATGTTTTTGTTTAATTAAGACATGAAGTCTCACGCGTGTTGTTTTTTTTTTTTTGCAGGTTAAACTAATACCCGACTGGTAGCGGGTCTTATCCACTCGTCATTGCAACTAAACATCCATTCACCGGATTTAACATAGATTATAACCATCTTGTATTGATAAGAAGAAAATGTGAAGCTTTTTGATGAAGAATGTTAAACACACAGAGAAAACAGAGAAAAAGATCGTGAGGAAGAGAGAAAATCGTGGACAAAATATTCTCTAAGATATATAGGAAACATCTTTAACCGAATATGGAAGTTTTCATATTTTGCGGATTACCTAAAATATGTATACTACCTAAGGCAGAACACAGTAGAAAAGGTGGGAAACATATTCTTTCTCAAGCGTCACATAAGGTAACATGCTGAATTGGTTATGGCACAAAATCTGGATGAGGTATATCAATAAGTTATGGTTATAAATCGGTATCTAGCTTCACGTACACCAAAGACATATGCCTTGATTATAACGTTACCAATACTACCTTGGTTAGAATAGACAAGAAATGTTATATTACGTTTCATACCTCGGGTCTATCTAGCAAGAACACCTAGTATATGATTTCTAAACTGAGTAGATAACGAAAATGAGTATTCTATCTGTAACTAGAAGATAAAAAATTATCCACTTTTAAAAAATAAAAACTTAAACATATATGTTGTCATACTTATGTTTTCTAGCCTTCTCATATTTTTTTATATTTTTCAAAATTACTTTACTATTTTTTCATTAATAAAGGATAAAACATGTCCAAAATTGCCAAAAATATGAGAAGTATATTGACAAATAAAAGTTCAAAGTGTCCCAATTTTCCAATTTTCCCTATTTTTTATTCGTTGTTAATTTCTTTCAGAGATTTCCTTGAAATGAATCAATATACCACTCGCGATATCTAATCATGGTCGGCTTAAAGTGTTTTTTCGAGGATCCCCCTATACATTAAAAGAGAAGTCACTTTGACATGTGGCACTCACACGGCCCTTCTCAGAAGAATTCTAGCGATTCTATTGGTTGATTTTTTACAATTTATTTTGTTGATTTATTTTTACCATCGACACTACTAAAAAGGAAATCCATTTAAATACTTACCTTTTGTGTTTTCTCGATTTAAAGAACATCCTTTTGCGATCCTTTCTCTGTTTAATTCATTAAATACTCATTTAATATTTTAGATGTCAGAGAACCAAAATTAATTGACAAGATATTTTCACTTCTAAAATCATGCATTTAAAAAAAAATTAATTGATAAGATATTTTCTCTCTAAAACCAATATTTTCTCACGAGATGTTCTCCTTTAGCTTTATCAACAAGATATTCCAAAAATAATATTACCTTAAAAGTATAAGATTTATTGAGAATTTATTAGAGAATATGTTACTTCTTAGCTTATCATGCAAGCTAAATCATTGAGAAACGTCCATCAATTTACTATNCAAGATATTCCAAAAATAATATTACCTTAAAAGTATAAGATTTATTGAGAATTTATTAGAGAATATGTTACTTCTTAGCTTATCATGCAAGCTAAATCATTGAGAAACGTCCATCAATTTACTATAAATAAGACATTCACAGTAGAAGAAATGAAATCATTGAACTTTGTATTCTGAACTTTTTATGTTAATAATGTTCGGAATTTGCTTTTCTTCTTATTTTAGAACATTAAGCTTTTATATTTTATGAGAGCTGATTTTTCTTTTGGTTTATATGCAGATATCCTATTATGACGATTTCTCCACTAAAGCTATATATGATTTGATTGTACACCTCTTTGATATATCATTTCGATAACATCTTTGTTCATCAATCTGGTAAAAAAAATTCTCTATTTAGTAACATCTCTCAGCTATATCATCTCGTGAATAGATTGAGAGCTGATTTTTCTTTTGGTTTATATGCAGATATCCTATTATGACGATTTCTCCACTGAAGCTATATATGATTTGATTGTACACCTCTTTGATATATCCTTTCGATAACATATTTGTTCCTCAATCTGGTAAAAAAATTTCTCTATTTGATAACATCTCTCAGCTATATCATCTCGTGAATAGATTGAGAGCTGGTTTTGCTTTTGGTTTATATGCAGATATCTTATTATGATGATTTCTCCACTGAAGCTATATATGATTTGATTGTACACCTCTTTGATATATCATTTCGATAACATCTTTGTTCCTCAATCTGGTAAAAAAAATTCTCTATTTGATAACATCTCTCAGCTATATCATTTCAATAGCATCTTTTTGTGCTGCCAATACTTTTTTTTTTTATTAGTAGATTTATATTATCAATTAGAATTATAAGCTTATATATACATATATATTTCTTTGGTTTGCTGATTGTGATTTTGTTTTATGATATTTTTAATTAAAATTGATATTTTTTTTTGGTTTGCAATTATATGATCTTTTTAATTAAAATTAAATATATATAGTCATATTTATTAATGAAAAAGTTATATCAACTACTTTTTATATTTATTATTTCCTTATTATATATCATTTAATATTTAAATATCTATAGTTTAAATGTAATTTACCTTAATGTTTTTAGTTTATTAATAAACTACCTTATTTTGAACACATATTACTTGTGCAACTTCAAATTATATTTATTTCATTGTTTTAATGCAATTTATCTTAATGTTTCTAATTTGTTAATTCGTCTTTATAAACTTATTTTGAACACATATTACTTGTGCAACTTCAAATCATATTTATTACATTGTTTTAATGCAATTTACCTTAATGTTTCTAATTTGTTAATTCGTTTTTAAAAACTTACCTTATTTTGAATATGATTTAATTGCACAAGTTTATAACATATTAATTGTAAATNCAAATCATATTTATTACATTGTTTTAATGCAATTTACCTTAATGTTTCTAATTTGTTAATTCGTTTTTAAAAACTTACCTTATTTTGAATATGATTTAATTGCACAAGTTTATAACATATTAATTGTAAATCATTTAATGACAATATAACTTTAATATTTTTCTTTGGACTGTTTCATTATTTCTTATGAAATTATATTTCTAAACATCATTTGTTATGAAAATATCTCCCTAATAACATAAGAAAAAAGGAAGGTGGAGTATATATAAAGGAGACACCTAAGGGATGTCAATACTAACTTATTAATTAGTCTATTTTTATTCGATAAAAAAAAATTAAATTTATAAATTCTTACATTTTTTTGTTTTTATATTAACAGATAAATAACACAGACGAAAGACCTGTTGTAGTTAACTACAAACCATTTTTCAGTTTGTTTCAATAGCGATATGAAAATTTAATATTATTTTCATCTCAATCAAATTTAGAAATCTATTAAATTATTTTATATTGTACAGTTGCTAACAAAATTTGACAATTTTTTGCATGTTTCTATGAGATATTTTTAATTCCTAACTGTTCTTCTTATTTTATATTACTTATGGGTTATATTTAAAATTTTTATTACATTTTCTTTGCAGGTTTCTATGGGATTGTGTTATATATTTCTATAGATTTACAATATATCAAAATCAAAACTATTTATTATTCTTTAATTTTATGCTCATATTATGGTATTAGGAAAGATATACCTTGTTGGTAAAAGCTTTTAATTAGTTAATCCGTTTATTAATAACTTTCCCTATTTTGTTATCAATTACTTGCGCAAGTTGATATGTTGATTACCTTATTTTGCCATCAATTAATTGTCTTAAATGGTATGTCAATTATTGCAAATTTATGACAGTCAATTTTTAATATCTTTCTATAAATTGCTTCATGGCTTATTATGAATTGTTTTCCAAATTTTTAATATATTTCTTTAAATTGCTTCATGTATTATTTTAAATTAATATAACTTGCACAAGAAAACTAATATTTAATTCAAATCAGCTTATGATATTGTAGATCTAATAACTTTCTTTATTCAGTTTAAATATTTATTATAAAAAATTAATATTTTCTGCTTTGCCTTCTAAATCGGTATTACACTTTATAATTGTTTAGATTTTATAGTTACAATAGCATACTAATGAGATGAACTATTTCTCTTGCAGGTCATGATGTTGCAGTCCTTAGGTGATA